GCTCTGTGAAAGACAATTTGGAAGGGATACCTCAGTATGACTGCGGTGCAAACTTTAACCTCAGATTGAATTAAAGTGCAGGCATGTATACCACTGCCAACCACAGTGACGTAGAGCATTTAGATATAGAAATCAGAATTTGTTGTTATCCCGCTGAATGATGAGCAGAGAGAAATCTGAGTGTTTACATGCATATCATTGCTTTCCATCATACACTGCAGGCTGTATGAATTAGGGCCCGCAAACACAGCCTCATTCTCCTTGCATCACGCCAAGAGTCACTCCATTGATTACCCTTCTCCGCTCCCAGGAAATGGCTCATGCATCTCGTGTACATTATAACAAATGTTCTCTTTGCATTACAATTGAATTGTGATTGTTATGTTCAATCAATGGGGAAAGGTCACGGGATCGCTCCTGCCAGCGCTTTAATGGAGAAGTCGATGAGGATTCATTTTAATCACTGCGACTGTGGCAGAATGAGCACAACACTGAGAGACTGTCAATGGGCCGGTAATTACCGCTGTTTATACAGGTTTCTGCTTTAGCAATTTAGATATCCACAAATCTCTCTGTTTCTTGCACCCCAGTTATATTGGAAGCTGCGTGGCATCAAATGAAGCACTAGAGGATGTGGGCCGTGACTACTCTAATTGTGGTACTATTGGTGGGGCTGGTGCTTTGAAAATGAATTGAGCTCCATTTGCTCCTTTGAGCAGTTACATTACCAGAAAGCTGTTATTGCGCGAAGGAGCATTTCTATTAGCTCGGCTGAGTCCAAACAATTGGGTGAAGAGGTCGAAGACCGCGCATCTACAATACCCAAACTCTCAGCGCACGTCTGTCAAGGTTAAGTGTACACACAGCTTCTTGCACCGAATTACTTTGTTTCATATTTGGCAGTGTTGTTGAAGAAAATTGCTGAAGTAGTTGCAACTGCAGAATAAAGAGACGAATTCAGTTCACCAAATCCTGGCCGATTGTGACGTTTTATCTTTCCTTTATGACTTTCAGAACTTTTACGTTTATTTCTTTTATATTTCACCACTTTGGTTAACAATACTGACTTTACCTTCGCTTCATAATTCAATTCAATTCAATTTTATTTAGCGCCAAATCCCAACAAAAGTCGCCTCAAGGCGCTTCATAGATACAGAGAAAAACCCAACAATCATATGACCCCCTATGAGCAAGCACTTTAGCGACAGTGGGAAGGAAAAACTCCCTTTTAACAGGAAGAAACCTCCGGCAGAACCAGGCTCAGGGAGGGGCGGGGCCATCTGCTGCGACCGGTTGGGGTGAGAGAAGGAAGACGGGATAAAGGACATGCTGTGGAAGAGAGACAGAGGTTAATAACAGATATGATTCAATGCAGAGAGGTCTATTAACACATAGTGAGTGAGAAAGGTGACTGGAAAGGAAAAACTCAATGCATCATGGCTTTATACATAAAAGAGAGGTCAAAACTCTTTAAGGAAATCGTAAAAAAAAAAGTTTAAAGAGTTTCTATGTCTGATATCTGAACGAGAGCAAAAAAGTTTCAATTTGCTCTCATATAAAACAGACAAAAAGTAACAAATGCACAGATGAGAGGAGCCGAGAAAGAGTTGTGCGTGAAAAATGTAGTAAGTAATACCTCATTTGCACTCCACTGACTGGTTAATGAATGAGCACTAATGTAGGTCAAAGGATCATATTTTGCTCTGTAAATGAAAAGTAAGGGCTTCTGAACAAACACTCTCTGATAACTCAACAACTCGACAGCAGGTGTGAAAGTCCACTCTTTCTACATGGAAAGACACTGATGCGGACTGTGCCGAAAATTATCACTCATCCTCCACCATCAGAAAGTGCTCTCTGACATCCCCCCGTTCACCCCAAGTGGCATGTTTGTGTTGGCCGATGTCTATGGATAGATGGGGTCAAGGCAGTATAACCTTGGAGAAAACAAATATTCATGATCAATAAGAGCTTTATTCCAAGCATCTAAATGATTCTTATGTCTGAAGCTGCTTTTCCTCTGCTTATTTGCCCATGCGGAAAAGCACTTTGAAGATTTATGCAGACTGGGTAAAAGGACAGTTTAAAAGACTACACAGTATCACTGCTTTCAAATGTCATGTAATCATAGGTTAGGGGAGAGTGCTGGGCACAGAGAGCTAAGTGATGTTACAGATAATGAATTGCCTCTGAAATATAATACATCGTAAGTATGATTCTTTGTTCCCAGCTCTGTACACCAACTCTGTACAATTAAAGTTATTTATCTTTCTCGTTTTTTTTAAGTTCATCAATTATATTGTGATACACTTAATGTCCATAAGAGGATGATGTATGATTGGTCTAATTATTTCTTATTCACCATGCTTTCTAAAGCATATCAATTTTGTTAATACCATGTAATTAAAACACGTCAGCGCGCTACAAGTTGCTGGCTGTATTAATGACTATGAAAATTATTTTAATTAAATAGCCAATTATAGAAAAATCCTAACCATGAGAATTGACATTTAAATGAATTCAATTTAAATTGCTTTTCAACATTGTTTTATCAAAGCTTTATGGGGTGAATAAATTATTACATCAAACAATATACTGTGTCATTGATCATACACAAGTCCTGTCCCATATCCATACATTTTCAAACACTTTCCTGATGCCATTCATCATACGGGGGGGGTGATTACATTTTGACATAGTCATTTGTTTACCGCAATCTCATCCACATGTACTCTACTTCTGTGTACTTTTAGGAAAACTGTGTTAACTGTTTATGTTACTTAGTTAACCAAATATTAGGCCACAGAGAACTCCTTTCATGGGGCTAATTTGAAAGTGTTTCTCCAAGCTGCCAATACTTAGGTCACCAACGCCTGAGGAAAAAGTCGAGACACTTCTTTTTTTTTTTTTTCGAGACACAAATAAACTTTCTAAAAACCATTTCTCAGAAGCTAAGAAATGGCTTCCTTTGACATTGTGTTAAAATACATGATTTCACATCAGGTAAGGATTTCACTTTTCACCACTTCACGGATACGTTTTTGTGCTATGTGGCTGTTTTCGTAACTGGATACAGACACATCCAGTCTTTTTAAAGGGCCTTTGTATCTAAAACATCATACACATCCGGTGGTGCCTTTTAATACCTATTAGACCACTCAAGCTCATATAGTTTCCCTATTTTTTCTGCATACTCTTAATGAAAGTCATTTTTCAGACATTACAAGCGCCATGATTTGCAGTTAACCCATGCAAACAAGAGAAATAGTGGGCAAACTGTTGTGACATTCATTGTATATAATGAAATCTTAATATGGTGCATATTTAAGTGAAAGGTTAGCAACATAAAGGGCAAATGGATTGCCTGGCAATGAATTTTAAGCAGCTATTGATTTTACACTACAAGCTACCTCTTCCCTGAATGATAATTTTGAAATGGCACACTGCTTATCTTAAAACTGATCTAACAGGACACAAGGAATACACAAAATATTAAGGCAAATACAGACAGATAAGCAACAATCTTTAAGATGTGCAATACATAATAAGTGCTGATGTGCTCACCAGAATGAAACTAACTGAAATCCAACTAATGGGAAATACATTTGTCTCAAAAAGTTTGCGCAAACAAAATAATAAAGCCGTGACATATATGTATAGTATACTTTATATCATTTATCTTACAACCGGTTTGATATTTAGAAATCTCGGGTAGTTGGGAAATGGATTACAAAGAATTTTATAGTGATGTACGCAGTATCCAAATGTCCCAGGAAATCAATAATGGCCTGCCATCTTTTAAATAAAATAACGTCTGATTTAAAATAATCCGTACATGATTTAGTGCCCTGCATAAACTGATTGATTTGTTAGGAAAGGCAGGAAGTCAGGTTTTCCACCTCATGATGTACCTTAGTGGTTGGAAATAAATGTGCAGTTAAGTGTATATGAGCTGCAGCAAGACACTTGCACATGGACTTGACCCTGCACATTTCTGCAGTGCTGTTATTTTCCTCCTCTCTCTTATCTTTCTTTCCTGCACTTCCTGGAGTTTATGGCTTTGTGTTCTTACCGAGTTAACTTCAATAGTTCAGTTCTAAAATATTATAATATTGTTTAATATTTTAAATCTTTCATTTCTGAGGTTTTACCTTTAAGTGCATGAACTTTTTAACCCCTAACCTACATGACATTTTTTTTAATATTCACCTGACTCCTGTGAAAAGTATCATGGGGTTTGAGATGGACAGTACATAAAACTGAGTGGATGCACTTAAAGTGAAAGATGATATAAAGCTGTTGGAAATCAATCTTTACTGTCTGACTTCAATTTGCAAAAATACCAGAAAATATGCTACCTTTATGTAATCTATACATTAACTTTTTAACCCCTAACTCACATGACAGGGTTTATATATATATATATATATAT